ATACTTATTGCTATGTCATAGAGTAATTGATTTCTTTTTGGTCTATTCTACTTTTAAAAGAGTCCATTTCAGTTTCCTTGACCAGAACTTTTATTCTAGTCCATTTTTTCTTTGAGAATCTGCTATATTGTAGAGTTACTCTATCTTTTCTAGGTCAGATTTTTTTTTTGGCTATTTCTGGATCTATTCTAATTCTTTACAAAGAGTTATATTTTCTTGTGTTTACTTATCTCTTCAGCCTTAGCTCCTGAACTGGGTCTTTGTCCCAGTGTTAGGGTATGCCTCCTGCTGTTCTTTTGGATGAGTGGTCTGCCATGTTTATTCTAGACCTGGGTCACCTGGGTTCCTTTACTGACCTCCCTAGGATTAAGGCTCTCTGGGTCTTTGAGGTTCAGAGTACTGAATTCTCAGGGCCCTGTCTTTTGCCTCAAGACAAAGTACTTAGGGATTTCAGAGCCCCTGGTCCTAGGGTATCTTAGTCTGAATTCTGCCATGCCCAAACTGGTCATTGCTACTCCTAGTCACTTTCAGGCTCTCCACTGTGGGTTTCAGACCACTCTGGGGCTTTCTTGGAGGAGTCCTCCATTCTTGCTGTCTCTAGACACAGAACCTTACAGGCTGTGTGTATATGGCCCATCTCTGCTTACTTTGAGAAGCTACAGTCTTGTTTGCTTGTATTGGCATTGGCTTCTCTGGTGGTACCCTTTGCTTCCGTTGCCCATGGATGTCTAGCTGATGATTTGTTCAGTTTTTGGATGGATAAAGTCAATTACTGTAGTTTCTGATTGGATTTATTAATCATTATTTATTCTGGTGTGACTTTTAGATTTTTGCTGTGGTAGATGTATCAAAGCTGGGCCTTCATTTAGTCTATGAGCTTTTTCTGTGGGCCTTTGTCACTTGCTCCAGAGCCCAAGTTAAATTCACCCTGCCAAGCTGTGGGAGGAAACCTGCCGACTTGTATGGAGGTGACCCCTTGTTCTTTCTGAGAGAGAGGAAGGTTACTTTTTTTGAGCAGACCTGTGCAGCAGTTACTCATATATTATGATATGTAGCTATCTCAGTCCAGTGGTTGCTTTCTCCTAGCCTGGGGTGACCATTAGCCATTTAAGTCTAGCATTCTACATAGCTAAGAATGTAACCAAAACTTTTCAAGGGGTAGGTAATAGTGGGAGACATCTAAGAACTTTAAAAAGTGGATTTGGGATGGTTTTTCCTGGCAAGGGAAAGGAACCTGCATCCCCCAAAAGCTATACCAATCAAGTGAATTTGTGGGACTTCCTGCCAAGATAATGGAAAGGAGGCACACAGCCCAGCTCCCACAGAATTATTTCAAAAAACCAAAAGTTTGCATCAGACTAATAATGATCAAGGAATCCAATGAGAAAGTTCAGTAAACAACTACTTTCACCCTAGAATTGCACAAAATGTCAGCCTGCAACTCATAGAAAAAGAGAATAAACATTTATATAATACCTACTATATGCCAGGCATTATGCTAAGCACTTTATTCTTTCAAATACTATCTTATTTTATCCTTACAACAATCCTATGAAATATTATTATCCCTATTTTGCATTTGAGAAAACTGTGGCAAACAGATTAAGTGACTTGTCCAGAGTCACACACAGCTCTAAGTGTCTGAGGCTGGACTTCGTGACTTCAGACCCAGTGCTTGGTCCATTGTGCCACCAGCTGCCTCAAAGAGGAGTCAGAAGAGGGATGCCCTTCTTGCAAGTCTCCATGTACAGAGATGATATCAGTGGCAGGCTCCTTTGAGAATGCCCCAGGGTAGTTACATTGGTCCACAATGGACCAATGTAGACCAAAGACCAACATAGCTGCCCATTATCATGCCACAGTATTCATACCAGGACAGGTGCAAGGGATCTGAAGTCTCTTGTACCTTGTCCTGAGATGCCAGAAAGGATCGTGAAGACACTGCTCTGTAAACCTCAAAGATCATAGAGGAGACCTAATTCCAAGGAGTGGAGATCAGCACAAAAACTCAGGGAGAGACCAAGCAGGGCCAGCCATCTCACCCAAAAGTACAGCAAGGGGAGGAGCCTGGCTCTGGCAGAGAGTCCCAATTCAGAAACTAAAGTCAGAAAAATGAGTAAATGAGAGAAGGCACTGATTAGTGTCACAATTTATTGAAAATCTAGAGATCCTCCAAAAGGAGAGAATAACTCCATAACAGCTGTCCATAGCAACTACAAGCAGAAACTCAAAGGAAAATAAAATTGATTTTGCAAAGTGAAGTGAGCAGAACCAGTAGAACATTGTACACAGTAACAGCAATATTGTAAGGAGGTTCAACTCTGAAAGACTTAGCTACTCTGATCAAGACAGTGATTCAAGACAATTCCAGAGGACCCATTATGAAAAATATCCACCTCCAGAAAGGGAACTGATAAACTGTAAGTGCAGATCAATTTGAAGCTTATTTTACTTTCTTTTTTTTCTTGTTTGTGTGTGTGTGTTTTCTTTTGCAGCATGGCTAATCTGGAAACAAGTTTTGCATTGCTTCACGTGTAATCAGTATCATATTGCTTGCCTTCTCAATAGTTGAGGGAAGGGTGGGAGGGAAGGAGGAAGAGAATTTGGAACTAAAAAAATTTTAAATGAATGGCAAAATTTTTTTTACATGTAATTAGGAAATATTTAATGAAATAAATAAAAATATATTTTCAAAAACACCAGAAAGCATGAGAATAAACGGATCTTTCCTTTAAAAAAGACAGAAATGAATTTTTACAAGGACTATATGAATACTTAGAAGATATAAAAAGCTGCAGAGGAAGAGATTGGAAGAATGAGTAGCTTAGAAGCAAAAATGCTGAATGTTGCCTAAGAAATGGATTTCCTAAAAACTAGAATAAACTAAATAGGAATCAGTGACTCCGTGAGACAGAAAGAAACATTAGAACAAAATCAAAAGATTGAAAAAATAGAAGACAGTAAAAGAGATCCAATATCAAGGTATGTCAAGGTATCTGGTCCACAGTATGTCATCCAGAATCCAGAACTCCCATGTTCTCCCTCGTCCCCAAATGATACCAGCATCCAGAAAGAAAGAGTTTAAATATCTGGGAACCACAGTCAGAATCACATAAGATGTGATAGCTTTTACTATAAGCAGGAGGAGATCTTAGAATACAGTATTCCAAAAGTCATAAGAGCCAGTCTTAAAACCAAAATTAATTTACCTTGTAAAGCTGAGGAAAATCCTGCAAGGGAAAAAAATACATATTTTTAGTGGATTAAAGGACTTTTAGGCATATTTGATATAAAGGCCAGAGCTGAGTAGTAACTTTGAAACACAAGCACAAGAGTCCAGAGAAACCTGGAAAAGTAAATATATTTGATCAGATTCAAGCAGCTATATAATGATGAAGGGCTAACATTCTAATAAGGGGAGAAAAAACAAGTGTCCCTTCAGAACCTCAATGTCTTCATAGGAGATTTAGGGAGTTAAATAAGATATTGTTTCTTTTCTGAGGGTTAAAAGGGAAAGTAAAAGAAATACACTAGTATAAAAAGAAGGAAGAAGATAGTGAGACTTGTTCTTTCTCATAACTGGGGTATGTGAGAAGAAGATTATACTAATGTGGAGGAAAGAATCACGGGAGAAGGCATCAAATGAATGTTACTTTTATCTGAACTGGACAGAAGAAGGTTGAACATACAATCTGGTGCAGAAATACATCAAATTCAACAGAGAAAGAAGGCGGTATATAGTGGATGGTGGTTGTGAAGGAGAATGATACCAGAAAGAACAACCTTCTTGATCCTGAAGGGGAAAGGGGGATGGGCAAGAAAAGTAAAGAAGTAGAAACTAAGAGGGTGCCTTAGATTGCCTCTTAGACAGTTGGGTAATGGCTAAATAAATGGTGGTACACGAATTACTACTAAGAAGAAATTATGAAAGAGAATTTCAGAGAACAATTTCAATATGAGCTGATGCAGAATGAAGTAAGCAGAACCAGGAGAACAATTTGTACAAAGACAACAACACTGTAAAGAAAAAGAACTTGGAAAAACTTAAGAATTCTTATTTAAAAAATTACAAGCCATGCCTTCAGACAACCTATGCATGTTAAACCTACCTGTTGACCAAGAGGTGGTGAACATATGGTACAGAGACATGCATTTTTTGATATGACCACTGAGTGGATTCCTTTTGTTGATTACTTTTGCTTGTTTTAGGTTTTTTTTTCTTTCTTTCCCTGTTTTTAATTGGATTGAGGAAGGGAGAAGGTTGGTAATAGTGATGCTAAAAAAAAGATTTATTTAAATACAAAGAAGAGAACAGAAGTAAATTCAGAAAGAAGTATAGACAAGCAGGTCAATTTTGAAAGTAACATATAGAATTTATTATATACTTTTTCTTTAAAAACAAGTGTTATGAAATGGAGATTAACAGTTTCATATAACATCCTGTTTTGTCTTCTGTTGTGTGTATGGAAATGCTCTTTTTGCTGTTTTGAGTTCAGCATAAATTTTTTAAATCAAGTTGATTTGTAGCTAGACTTTAGTTAAACTTGAGTTACAAGCCTGTGGTCTTTTAAATTTCTCATGCATGTTTTTCAGGGGGATTTTGTTTTCAAATTTAGTTTATTAATAAATAATCCAAACAACATTTGTGAAGCACCCAACTAAGATGAAAAGGGATTCCTCCCCCGCCCCCCACTTTGGTCATTATAACCAGGGGAAGCAGAGTGTCCTGATGGTCCTGATATGGTAGTGGTGGCAGTGTCTGTATCATTTACTGAGCCCCTGGATTTGAGACTGGGAACAGAAAGTTGGAAGCTAGAAAAAATACAAGTCTTTATGATAGGGACTTCATTTATCTTAGACTGAGACAATGACCAGCTCCAATGTGCCTTCCCCCACAAGTTAAATTGTTTCTCCCTCTTCCCAAATGACAAGGAACTTCTGGACATTTCTTGAGTGTGCTGACCTTTTCTCTGTTCCCTGTCTTTCTTTTGATTATTCAGTCGAAGACCTGATAAAATACCTGGATCCTGAGTACATTGATCGCGTTACTGTTCCTGATGCTGCCAAATTGCAGTTCATCTTAGCAGGTAAACAAGTGGCGAGTTTTCCTCTCTAGGCACCACCCGTGTATCCTATATCCATCTAATTGCTGGACCACATTAGCCTTGGAGATGTTCCCCATTCCTGAAGAGACTAGCTCAACGCAAGGTTTAATTTGCTTTGAGCTAGCACGGAAAGGCCCAGCCTAATCTAGACCATCAGCCATTATGAAGTGACTTAGCATTCCCTGTGGAGTCCTCCGGGTGAGGAGGGGCTCCAAATTCTCATGGGCAGAGAGGGTAGGTCTAGTCCATGATTCTTGTTCTCATGGCAGTCATTGTGACTAACAGAGTCAAATTCAGAGCTACATCAGAAGACAGACCTGTGGAAGTCTTGGTAAGGGTTAATGAGTGTCCTAAGATCAATCTTCCTCCCTTGGGTGTGCTCATCCAGTAGCCCCTCAGGATTTTCACCCCAAAGTTACCCTTTGTCTGCTAGGCCTCACTCAAGTGAGGAAATAGGTTTTAAGGGGAAGGGTTGACATGAACTTGGGTTTGGAGGTGGAGTAATTTGGAAGAATTATTAGGAATTGTAAAGGGTCTTATTTTTAAGTTCTTTTATCTCACAGTGTAAAGGAATGGGGAATAGGGGATTATCAACTTGATGATTGTAGGAGATCAATAAGGACTTATTTGAATACATACTGTGTGCCCAACTTTGTGTTGATTATTATAGGAGATAATAGAAAGAGAAGATATGGTCCTTAACTTTCAAGAAGTTTAATTCAGAACATACATAAACATACATACAAGGAGTATGGCACTGTTCCTGTTCCCTGCAGAATACTGACTATTGAGAGGTCAGAAAAAGAGGGATGGTCACTGTGGCCAGTAGTCTAGACAGTTTCAACTATTGATTCTTCCTTTGTAATATCTTTAACATGCTTCCCTTCTTTCCCATTTCCACTGCCAAAATCCTAGTCCAAGCTTAATCATCTCATACTTGAATTATTGCAGTAACCTCTTAAATAAGTCATCTTGCTTGTAGTCTCTCTCATATCTATTCCATGCTGTCCCCAGGCTGATCTTCCTAAAATGCTTCCATCAGGTCACTGCTTTGCTCAGAAACCTTTAGTGGTGCTCCATTGTCTACTGAGAAAGTGAGAACCACTTAGCTTGGAATTTCTGGCCCCTCCATGATGTAGTCTCACTCTGCCAATCTGGAATTTTTTGTATTCTTCACCCATTTAAATCCTGCCCATCCTCTTGAGGGCCCAGCTCAAGACTTTCTTTCTCCTTGATGTCTTTCCTGACTACCCTAACTTCTTCCTCTGAATTTATGTAGCACTTGCATGTCTGTACCTCACTTAGTATATACTCCCTTGTACTGTTCGTGTGCTATGTTTTTGTCTCCCAAATTAGACCTGGCACAGTGGATAGAGTGCTATACCTGGAGTCGGGAAGACCTGAGTTCAGATTGCCTTCAGAGACTTACTAGCTAGCTATGTGCCCCTGGGCAAGTTACTTAACTGCTGCTTGCCTCAGTTTCCTCATCTGTAAAATGGGGATAATAATAGCATCTAACCTCCAAGGGTGGTTGTGAGCGTGAAATGAGATAATAATTGCAAAGCACTTTGCAAGCCTTGAATGACCATCTAGATGCTACTTACTATCATATATCTTTGTATTACTCCAGTGCCTTGCATGTAATAGGTGTTAAATAAACATTTGTTGCTTGATTAGATGGATGGAGGAGAAGGTAGAACTGAGCTGGATCTTGTAGGGTAGGTTAGATTTAGATTGGCAGAGGGAGACAAGAGGACTTTCTATTTAGGGGATCAGGGAAACAGCAGCCTTGGGTGTCAAGTTGTGCATCATGAGAATGTGTATAACACTAGGGGCAGGGTAGAATCTGGAGTAGGAGTTCTTAATCTTTTTGTGTGTCAAGGACCATTTTGGCAGCCTAGGAAAGCCTGTATACCCTCTCTCAGAGTAATATTTTTAAGTAGTTGAAGGAAATATTCTTTTCAGTGAAAGGTTAGTGAAAATAAAGACATAATTTTTTTTTCCTATCCAAGTCCATGGACCCCCCAAATCTGTCCGTGTTAAGAATCCCTGATGTCAGAGCAATAGAGATCCCCCAAATCCAGTGTAGAAGAAAGGCACTAGGATTAGCTCGGAGTTGACCTTGTAACCTCTGGATGTCTGTTTTCTCGCCACACACACACACGTGTGCAAAGATGGATTATCGGGGCAGGAGATATCAGCTTAGGCCCTGATCTCTGCTTCACTGTCTGCTTCCTTTCCTCTCAGAGGAGCAGTTTATTCTCTCCCAAGTGGCACTCCTAGAGCAAGTGGAGACCTTGGCTCCTCTCCTGGACAGCTCTCACTTCAAAGGTAACTCCAAGACCGCATCCCCTGGGAAAATCAGCTGCAATTGCTGCTTGCCTCCTCAGGATAAATACAGAAGTGGCCATGCTGGCTAGCTTATTGCATTCTGCCTTGTAATGTCTCTTTGGACATTTGTCCAGGTTGGGAGTAGTGGGGTGGTATAGATATGGGAAGGGTCCTGAATATGGCTCGGTCAGCGTAGGTGACGCAAATTCTAGCACCTCCAACCTCCACACTTGAGTCCCTGGTATGGGCCCCTGCCACTGCCTTGATCAGTATCTAGATACGGATAGTATGTTCCCTCCTGGTTTGGGGCTGTCATCGGGAATCTGTAAGCACTTGTGGTCCTTTCTGGGATCCTTCTCTAGAGGTTCTAGGATAAGGGCTTCATGTGGAACCACAGTTCTCCTTTGTTCCCTTTTTCTCACTGAACCACTTAGAGTAATCCATGTTCCTTTCTTTGGATGTCAGTTGCCCTATATACAAAAAGGAGATCAGAATTCCTAAAAGCTAGCTCTGGAGAATATTGTCCATTTCCTTATTCTTAATGAGGAAAATAGATTCCACAGTCTCCCCCTTTACTCATTGTAGGCCTTGGTGGCATTCATCGTGGAGAAATTTTTTCACATGTAATTTGAGTTCTGCTCTGTGGTGAAAGGGTCATTTATACCTGTGTAAAGTTATCTTTTATTGTCCTTAGCACTGGCTGCCAGCTGGCCCTGCAGCAGTACTGCTGCCTGTCACCTAAAAGATATTGAAAACTTGAGTTTATAATCCCCCTGCTTTCCATTCTAGCCCTTACCGCTTGCTTTTGTTGGGGCCAGGGCCCTAGGGATGAGGTGGCAATCAGAAGGTTCATCCCTGCCCTCTGTCAGGCCTTAGACTCTACAGTGAGGTGTGGAGAATTCTTTCTGCATACTGACAGAGAGCAGCCTCTGCCTCTGCAGAGTTGGGTGGAGGAAGCAGGGGTGAGTGACAGACCTAGGCTTCAGTTGAATCCAGATATCTGTCTTGTCCTTCTTTAGAAGTTTTCCCTATCTCCTCAGTGCTTACTACTGGAAGTCCTGCTGCTGATGCTCAGAATGAATTTCTGGGAGGCTTGCTTATGGCCTTACTGCACATTAGTGGCCCAGTCCTGGGTTCAGGCAGCGAGCTGTTTGTCCGCTGAGCAGGCTGGACCCCACCAGGGAAGGAAAGAGAAGGATAGATCATAGTGACATGCCAGCATCTTTATAAAGCCCTTTGTCCTTACTCTGTACTCAGGCCCCAGGGGTATCCAGCCTTTGGGAAGGGTAGCAAAGCTGGCCTGGGACTCTGAAGCTTTGCTTACCTCCTTTGCTCTTTCCTTCGGTGTTCCAGTAAGCCATGATTCCATGATTAGTACCAGACCTAACCTCCTTTTTCCACCCTGGCTTTGCAGGAGTGAAAGGGAGGCAGAAGGTGGCCAGGCAGCTTTCTTGCCCTAAGAACCTTCAGCATTGGCTTCCCTGTCCCACCCTCCCACAGAGCCCTTCCTCCATCCAGTTGCTAGGCAATCGATAGAAACTATCGTTTGTTTAGTTTAGAGACTCAATACTTTAATCCCAGCCGAAGACCTAATAGACTATTGAGTATTCCCTAGAGGATTTAAAAAAAAAAACCACAACCCATCAAATAACAGCCTTGTGCTTGTGTGATTTTCAGCTGTTCCCAAGCATGCTGCCCGACTGCAGACTCTGTCACAGATTCACATCCAGCAGCAGGTAGGGGTGTAGTGTCTGGATCTCGGGGGTGGGAGGCAGGGAGGCAGGTGAGTGGAGGTGGAAGGGAAAAGGCAGTCCCTTTCTCTGCATTTAAGCAAACCAAAGATAGATCAGGAATATGTACCTGTCTTTCAGTCCATCTTGCCCTGGCTTTTCACTTCCTTTTCCCCAGAAATCCAAGAAGAAATCAACTTACAGAATTTTTCAGTTAAGGAAGCATGCTTGTAGTGGCTTGCCTAAAGTCACAATAAGTCAGTAACAGAAATAAAACTAGAACTCTAGTTTCTTGACTCAATTTACCCTTCTTCTCAATGGCTGGGGGGGAGGAGGGGATGGAGGAAGGTAAGGACAGTTTAACCCTTTGTGAGACCTCCAGAGCAGGAAAACTACTGCTTCTGCTCTGATCTTCTTGCCATGAGCTCTCTCTACCAGTGATCCAGGCCTGCATCTGCCTTGACTTCTCCTAGTTCAAGCTCTGCTTCGGGGAGGTGGGAGTGGGACATAAGTGGGTGTCCCTGGGTGTGTCCAACCTGTCTTCCCCTGATCTAGTTATGGTCAAACTAACTGAAGGCTCTAAGGCATCCACCCAATCTCTCTCTCTCTTATCTGCCTGCCAGGGACCTGACAGTCTCCATTAGTGATTCATTAGTCCCTTGGGTTAAACATTAGCACAGCCTTTCTAGCCCCTTTTAAAAATGTCACCTCCACCTCCCCACTGAAGGAGCCCTTGTGGTTGAGCAGCAGTAGCACAGTGGCGAGAGAGGAAGCAAAGAAAGCTGAAAGTACCAAAGTTCCTGTTGTAACTTTGAGCAGTGCTAGCCTGGGAAAGTCCACGTCTGTCACCAGATAGCTTCCAGTATCATTCTCTCATTTCAGGATCAGTGTGAGGAAGTCACTGAAGCGACCAAGGCACTCCTGGAAGAGTACAACAAGATGGTATCCTTTCACCTCCATGGGGTTCCCCTGCCTCTCAGCATGACCAAGCCTAGTCCTGTCTCCTTGCTTCTCCCTTCACTAGTCCCTGTCCCCCTGCCTCCCACCCTTCCACCCTCAAATCCTGAGTCTCCTGAGAAGTGGCTGAGAAGGTCAGTGTCCCTCCTTGGCTTTTCTTGAGTGTGACATGTGTTTACAAACTGGGATGGCCAGGGAAAATTTCACAGAGGAATTGAGAACATTTGAATTAAGCCTTGGGTGATGAATGGAATTTCAACAATCAGAAATTGGGAAGGACATTCCAGTTTTAGGGAATGATGCAAATAAAAGTGGCAGATGGGAAAACTGAGGACATGTTCAGGGAATGGTGAATAGTCTAGCACAGTTGGAGTGGAGGTCCCTCATAGGAAATAATGGTAGATGAGGTTGGAAAGTTTGATTGGGGTCAGAGCATAGAGAGCTTTAACCGATAAGCCAAATAGGTTGGGCTGAATCCTGTGTATGGTGAAGAATCCCTAGAGGTTCTAAAGTAGGGGAATGATATGGTGAAGGCAGAATTTTCAGAAGGCTTACCTGAATAGCGCTTTGCTCTTTCCCAGTCTTGTGTTTCCCTCTTGCCTGTCCATCTGTTCATTTAAAACTCCCCTGCAAATAGATATGTGAAATGCCCATTGACTGTAGCTCCCTTGGGCACCATGGTTATTCTCATCCTTGACCCCACTTCCAAGACGATTCTCCTGTCCAAGCAGTTTGTCCAGTGGGATGAGCTACTATCCCAGCTGGAGGCAGCAAAACAAGTCAAACCAGCAACAGAGTGAGGGGAGGCATTCATTGGTTGACTTCCCTCCTAGAACATGTTCACCACTGAAGGCCCTCCATTTCCTTGTATTTAACGTCTCAGTCACCCACCCACCAGGTGGATGTGACCTGCCTGCGACCCCCCCCACCCGCTTTGTATCTTTCCCTTCCACTTGGGATGAGGATTGGCCATGTTTTCTTTAGAGTTTGGGGGAAGGGGCTTTAAGGAGTTACTATTCTTTAGTCAGCCCCAATTTGAAGTGGGAAAAGGATGCCTGACAGTCCCTGTCTTTTAGTCACTATGGCTGGAAGTTCTGGGGGGATCAGAAGTCAAGGTGACTTGCAGAGATGCAGGCCTTGTCTCTGGGTTCCTTTTGTCCTGCTATATTACTGTTGTCTCCTTTACTCCCCCTCCCCCCTATAACTTACACCACATAATAAAAATCCGAACTCTGTTGTCCTTATTACTATAATAATAAAGAACTGACACAGAAAAAAGTGGTGAATGTTTGTGATGTCCTAGTGGGGGATGGGGAGGATAGAATTGGAAGAGGGGTGGATGGAGTTTCTGCTCAGTCCTGCTGATTCAGAGCTATCTCTTCAGGTACTTCGACATTCAACAACAAATATTTGTTAAGCGCCTATCATGTGTGGGATCCAGTAGACAGCCAATACAGCCAGTATTATGTTGCATAAGGGCATTCAAAAGATGCAGAGCAAAGGGCTGTGGGAAATCCAAGAGACTTCATTACTCACCAGGGGGATGAGGAAAGCCTCCCTAGATGAAGTAGCCTTTGAGGAGGACTTTAAAAGATAGGTGGGAATTCAAAAGATATATAAATGAAGGTATAGGATTTCAGACATAGGGAGTGTGAGCAAAAGCCCTGAGGTGAGAGAGTAGAGAGCCTGGTAGGTTAAGTGGGGGTCGCCAGAGAATAGGCAGTCTGGAGTAGTCAAAGAGGACATGCTTATGAGATACAGCCAGAAAGGTAAGGTGGTATCACATTGTGGAGGGCCTTGAATGAACGACAAATTCAGACTGTACTTGGTAGACAACTGAAGATTTTTGAGCAGAGGAATAATCTATATAAAATATCCTGGCAGTGATATAAAAGATGGGCTCAAATTAGGATAGAGTTGATACTCTAAAGTACTATTAGATTATTGCCATATTCTAAGCAGGTGGTAATAAAGTTTAATATTATGGTAGTAGTCACTTGAATAGAGAGGTGGGCTTGGAGTTCTATGAGGGTTGAGAATGGAAGGTGGTCAAATTGCTCTGATGTGAGTAGGAGCGGCTGAGACCCCGAGCGCTCAGAGGATACACTTGCAGAATGAACCCTGTCAGGGGAGAAGGCTGAGATGTAGACAGGGCGGTGAGATGTTCACGTGGAGGTGCCACTAACTGGAAACCCCCTTGGCAAGACCAAGGATTTGGTTTTTGCCCTTTGACCTGCGTGTCAGAAAAGCAGCTGAATGGTATTTATTTAGGGGAAGAGTAATTGAACTGAGAACATGTTCCTTTTGTTTTCCTTCCAGGTTCTCTTTACTACAATTATCCAATGTAATAATGATAATAGTTAGTATTTATATAGCACCTGTTACGTGCCAGGTACTATGCTAAGCACTTTACAAAAACTATTTCATTGGCTCCTCACAGCCCTGGTATTAGGTAGGTATTATTGTTATCCCCATTTTACAGATTCAGAAACTAAGGTAGACAGAGATTAAGTGACTTGCCCAGGATCACATAGCTGGGAAGTGTCTAAAGATGGATTTAAGCTCAGGTCTTTCTGACTCCAGGCCTAGTACTCTATCCACTGCAAAACCTAGCTACAATCTAAAGCTGGGCTGTTGCTGTTTGAGTCAGCAGTCTAGATGTATTCCTTGAGATTTAGACCTTCCTCTTCCTGAACCTTGGTTTTCTTTCATCTTTAAGGGAGAAGCAATCATTCACTGAACCAGTATATACTGAAGTCACCCCCCTGTGCCTGGCCCTACATCATCTCTCAGTTGATCACAACCAGCACTCAAAGTTTGCAAGATACTTTAAGTACATTTTTTTCACCTGATTCTCACAGCAACCCTGCTATATAAAGGCCAGTTATTATTATTATTGTTTTATATATTTCTTCATATACCCATTTTACAGAGGAGGAAACAATATCAGAGAAGTGAAGTGACTAGCCTGAGGCCACACAGAGTAAGTGGCTGAAATGACCAAACCTCAAGTGTTCTAATTCCAAGTCTAGTGCTTTTCTTACTACGTGCCACCTCTTGGCAAGAGCCTGAGCATCTTACTCACCCAAGTTCTGTGAGAGGTCAGAGGAAGGAGATAGACTCAGTAAACCCTGGTTCCTTTGTGGCTTACATTTGGAGGCCAAAAGAGAAGGGGAACATGTCTAGTCTCAAACCTCTTATCTGTTCAATCTCTCCAAAGGCCAGAAATGGGAGAAGGGGAGGAAACCTCATTAACCTAATCAGAGCAGCAGTCATGAAAGGTCTGAGTGCTCTGTGTGTCTGTATCTGTGTCTGCATGTGTGTCTGTGTGTATCTATGTGTGTCTCTGTGTCTCTCTGTGTGTCTGTGTGTGTATACCAGAGAAGAAATAGGATTCTTAGCCTTGGGCAACTCCTAGGCCACTCACATGTGCAATGATGGAATAAAAAGGACAAAGGCAAATGAACAAGAGGGGAGAGAATTCTAGCCATGATTTGCTGCATCCCCTGGTGTCCCAGTCAGACAACATGCCTTTATTGACATCGTGTCTTTATTGACAGTGTGACTTTATTGACACTGGGACTGAGAAACAAAATGACTTCAACAATCCAACCACAAAAAGTGATTTCTTCTCCAAGCTTCATGCCGTGTGCCTAGCAAGGTGCTGGGGACTGGGGGGAGCAACAAAAACGATAAAGGAACATGTAGTATTGGGGAGCTCAGTCTGGTTAGAGCCTGAAACTCTCTTTAAGATAACCAGCTATACCTTTTAGCGTATGTGTATGCTTAAAGCCAGAGGAGCCGACAGTAAATGCTTATCTCACCCAGGATTTGAATTCTCAAATCAAAATTAATTTTCACTTATTTGAATTTAGGACACACATACACTGACCAATGAAATCATAAATCCAGTCCTTATCCCTATACACTGACCTCATTTGTTCATGTTTTGGTGGCAAGGAGGCTGAAAAATTAACCAGCCCTCTCCTCTCCTGCTAGACTGGCCTTCTGAAATTTCTACCTTAATCAAGTCACATCTGCAGTCTAGACCCTCCTGTGTCATCACACTGCCCATGTGATACATTTAAAAATCTTTTGCTTGGCATTCAAGGTCCACCAAACGATGGCTGTAGCCCACCTGTCCAGCGTCATCTCTCACTGTCTACCTCTGTTCTAGCCAAGCTTGATTACTAACCATTCCCTGAACAAAACTCATGTTTTCCTACTTGGTACTTTGTCTCACTTCATTTTATATGCCTAAAATGTCCACCATCCTCATCTATCTCTGCCAATTGAAACACTTTCCATCCTTTAAATGCTACCCTACCTATTCTGTGAGGCCTCACCAGCCACCCAAGTCAGAAATAGTTTCTCCTTCCACTGTTGAAAATCCCTTATAATGCATTGTATTATGATCATTCGGGCAAATGTCTTTTCTAAGAATAAGCCTCATATATCTTTGCATCCCAACAGGGTCCACGTAATACCTTTCTCCTACGCACAGTGGGGGTTGGATAATTGAGGGTACTCTGGAAGGGCAATATTGAGAGTTCAGAGGCAGGAATAAAAATGTCATCTTCTTGGCACAGTGAGGGAACTGGCCTGGGATGAATAGAGGAGAGTTGGGCTCTTTTCTTCTTCCAGCTCAGAGGACTGTAACAGATGGAGAGGAATATATATTCCAGAGGGGTCTCCATTACCAGTGCTGTCTGGCTGTAGGTAGACGGCTTGTCTTGTGCTCCTCACTCTAAAGGAATGGAATCAGCTTTTCACAGAATCACACCGAATCTCAAAACTGGAAGACGTTTCATCAGATCCTTTTCCCTGATTTAGGAGATTCTGAAATTGTAACTTTCTACTCTCATGCCCCACTTCTCCATCGGGAACAACCCCGGAGAACAAACCTACTGTTTGCTACTTCTGTATGGGTCTGGATAGAGGGCTGGGCCCAGAGTCAGAAGGACTCATCTTCCTGAGTTCAAAGCTGGCCTCAGACACTTACTGGCTGTGTGACCTTGGGCAAGTCACTTAACCCTGTTTGCCTCAGTTTTCTCATCTGCAAAATGAGCTGGAGAAGGAAATGGCGAACCACTCCAGTATCTTTGCCAAGAAAACCTCAAATGAGGTCACAAAGAGTTGGACAGTACTGAAAATGACTGAACAACAGCAGCAGTAGCAGCAGCAGCAACAACAGGTTGTTATAGAATAACTGATCTACTGTGTGACCCTGGGCAAGTCACATAACCCCAATGGCCTCACCAAAAAAAAAAAAAAAGAACTAGTCCTTACCTGCTCTTAAGTGTTAGGAGATAAAGCCTGCTCTATCCTGAGGAAGGAAATAAAATCTGCCCTTGAAGAGCATTTAGATTAATTAGGGGGGAAGGAGAAAAACATAATATGGTCTGAGAAAGACAAATAGGAATGTTAAACTGAATTTAATAATAATAGCTAACATTTATATGGTGCTTACTAAGCCTCAGGCACAGTGCTAAGGGCTTTACAATTATTCTCATTTGATCCTCACCACAATCTTGGGAGGTAAGTACTATTATTATCCTGATTTTGCAGATGAGGAAACTGAGGCAACAGGTTACATGACTTGCCTAGGGTCACATGGCTAGGAAGTGTCAGGTCACATTTGAACTCAGGTTTTCCTGACTCCAGGCCTGGCACACTTAAGCAAGGCAAGCCAAAAGACTACTAGAATTAATGGAAAACTTCCTCCCCCTTGGTAGGGAAGAGTGATCTGAGTACCTCAGGACTAGGCAAGCTGAAATGACAGTGGAAATCTGGGCTTATTTTTTTTAACTAATTTTTAAAACTAATAATGGCAATCCTAATGAAAACAATCAAAATATGGAATAAGATCATACTTTCAGTATTGTTTGCCTAAGCACCTACAGTATCACTGTAGGATATCTGGGTGATATAAAGAGATAAACAAAACAGGAACCCTCAAGGAAAATACATCCTGTTGGGGGCTTGGAGGGGCAGAGGAAGCATAAGTAAACTCAAAATATTTTAGGAGGGAGAACAGTAACCACTGGTGAAACAGGGAAAGGCTCTGTGAAGGAGCTGGTACTTTGAATTGAACCTTGAAGGTAGCCAGGGATTCTAAGAAGCAGAGGTGAGGAAGGAGAGGGATGAAGGGAGATGGTGGTAGACTGCTAGGCATGGGCTCAGCCAGTGCAAAGGCAGGGAGTTGGAGATGAAATGGTGGTGTTTTTTTTTTATTAATTTATTTTGATTTATCAACAATCACTTCCATAAGCTTTTGA